GTAAAAAAAATAATAATTCAAAATTCACGACTTTAGTCAGTAATATGTAAAGTTGATCTTGACAAGTCATATTAAACTTTGGAGAAAATATTTCCATTAGCCTTCATATATAAGACTGCAGTTCAATCGAAATTTCAAACTCTGAAATTAAAACCTCAAGCTGATAAACTTGCGACACAAATTTAACATCATACGTAAATTAAAGTAAATGACGCCCTCAAATCTAATTCAAGTCCATGGTCCAATTACATCATCCGAAAGCTCAAGTTCAAGCTCAAACTATTACCCCATGGCACATGGTAAGTTGCATGAGACATGTGAAGTCAAATCAATCTGCCAATTATCGTACCAAGTGTGCAAATAATACATTTTCGCTGTAGCGATGGCAGGCGGGGACGATGTGAGGTTAGGCAGTGCACAATAGGGCGGGTTTAACACCATGTCTGGCGGGGCAGGTTGAATTATTTTTCTTAAAAAACAAATATGAGATTGAGTTGGAAAGAAATAGATTATAGATCTATACGGGTTTTATTTGAGTTTAAAAAATTTATCAACTTTGTCATGATCCAAATTTTTATTAATCATAGTTATTCCCCAATTAATAAACTAGAAGAAAATGATCCGTGCTAACAGTCTTAAAGTGTATGGAAGATGCAGAGCAGTTCCAATGTTGATGAAAACTGTGAAATATATAAATCAAATAATTACTCCAAGGATGGTAACAATAATTATATCATATGATGATAAGATAAATTAAAATTATAGCACGAGCTAGCTACATCGAACCTCTATAATTTCTACGCAGGTACTATATATATAAATGTGGGTGCAATTCGTTGAAGAATTTATGTGATTGATCCAGTTTTTCAAAACTTCATCTACAAGATAACCGTCTCACTTCTTTTGAGCTTGAAAAGGAATTTTTTTAAAGCTACAAAAAATCACTCAAATGTCTCACTTCTTATGTGAACTTCGCATTGGAGACAGATGGTACGGTGGTAGTTAAAAAATTCAACATATACGGAAATAATTACTTAGCCAGTTTTATTGGTCATTTCAATTAATATTATTGGGCACAGACATTCTTGACCTTATAAACAAAGAAAAAATAAAAAACAAAATCGTACTTCAGGTTTATGAATAATGGATTATGTTGGATGATTAATTGATGGGTAGTTTGGAAGGGAGGGCAGCTTTAGCGGACGCTCTAGATTTCTATAATAGCGGAAATGCAAATTACCAAACTCTGGTGAACTTAAATGGCGGAGAGAAATCACAATATAAAACAATACAGTACAAAAGAAGAGGAGAAGAATTTCAGATTTTCAGTAGTGCAATGAGGCCCAGGCTCTAAATATTCATAACCAGTAGTTAGAGACTCAATAGGTGCGAAATGCCCATCGAAAATGTGTGACATTGCATTGGGGACGGATGATATGGTGATAGTTCAGAAATTCAATAATTACTAGTATTAGCACTATTGCTATGTCATTTCAATTATTATTATTGGGCTCCGACATATATTATGACCTTGTTAAAGAAAGAAAAAAGTAAAACTCAAAACGTGTTTCATGCATGAGATACCTTAGAGATCAAAGAAGTTGCTTCACTATAAATTCATGGGCTTAATGTTGTTCACAGCACCCAAAAAATAAAAAATAAAAAAGAAGAGAAAAAAAAATGGGCAGCATGGCTGAAAAATGGGAAGAACTTAGTGGGAAAAAGAATTGGGATGGGTTATTAAACCCCTTGGATGTTGATCTTCGTAAATATATCATTCATTATGGAGAATTGGCTCATGCAACTTATGACACTTTCATTATGGAGAGAGCATCCAAATATGCAGGAGCTAGCAGATATTCGATGGAAAATTTCTTTACTAAAGTTGGACTTGACCCAAACAAATATCGCGTGACCAAATTTTTCTATGCTACCGCATCCATTCCACTTCCCGATGCTTTCATAGTGAAATCATTTTCAAGAGAAGCATGGAGTAAGGAATCAAATTTTATGGGATACATTGCTGTGTCTACTGATGAGGGTAAAGCTTCACTAGGAAGAAGGGACATTGTGATTAATTGGAGAGGAACTATACAGAAGATGGAGTGGGTTAATGACCTTCAATTTTTACTTATCCCAGCACCCAAAATATTTGGTGATGGAGGTTTGCTTCCTTTGTTTAAACCTTTGGTGCATCATGGCTTCTACAATGTTTATACATCAGCAAGTTCACGATCACAGTTTAATCAAACAAGTGTCAGAGACCAGGTACATTAACTTGCTTAATTCCATGTTTTCCGATATATATATATATATATATATAAACTGTCCTTAATGAAGCTTATAAAGAGTCGTCGTTTTCTTTGTTTTAGGTAATCAAAGAAGTGAAAAGATTGGTTGAGGAATATAAGCATGACGAAGTCAGCATAACAGTGACGGGACATAGCCTAGGTGCATCACTTGCAACTCTAAACGCAGTTGACATAACCTTCAATGGAATCAACAAAACAAGTGAAGGTAAGGAGTTCCCAGTGACTGCTTTTGCATTCGCAAGTCCTAAAGTTGGAGATCTCCAATTTAAGGCAGCATTTGACAAATTGAAGCATCTTCATGTCTTGAGAATTCACAACTTAATGGATATTGTTCCAAAATACCCTCCCATTGGCTATTTCGACGTTGGGAAGGAGCTAATGATTGATACCACAAAATCTCCCTATGTGAAACCTCCTGGAGAACCTCTCAGCTGGCATTTGTTGGAGCCATACTTGCATGGAGTCGCTGGAACTCAAGGTTTAGGACTTTTTGCAGGTTTTAAACTAGAGGTGAATCGCGATATCTCACTTGTCAACAAGCAGTGGAACATTTTGAAAGACGAATATTGTATTCCTGGGAGGTGGTGGGTTGAGAAGTGCAAAGGGATGGTTCAACAAGAAGATGGATCTTGGCTTATGTTAGATCGCGATGAGTATGAGTTCTAAGGGAGCTAAATCATGTGGCTTTGTTTTCTTTCGTGTAATGTTTGAATAAAAGGTTTTCGAGGGCTGTTTGGAAAAATCACATCCTATATTATAGTATTATATAGGAGTATTTATGTATGTAACTATGTACTATGGTTCCTCTTATCACAGAGGATAAATTTGTATGTTGATCTATTTCTTTTAATGTTTAATATGAGTACTTTTAATTTGTGTGTCTGCTGAACTTTTATGCTCTAAGTTATTAATTCATGCAAAATATGATAAAATAATCAGATCAGGTAACTCTAGATATATGCTCTTAGGTAGATTATTTTTTTGATAATTCTTCACTATATAGGATTAACAACTAATTTCGCTTTTTAGCTACAAATTCTGTCTATTTTTTTTTAATAGTATACACAAAAGCAGAGTAGTTATCAAGGAACATCAAATTGGTAATTTTCTAAGTACTGTATGTGCTTGGTCTGATTCATGCGAAGAGAAGGCATTTACTTAATTTATACATTATATAGTTCCCTCTAGCTTCTATTTATACGTGTGCAGAATCATTTTCTCTCAGATCAACGACACCGGGTATGAGATATATCGGCAGGAGAGCCGATTAAAAAAAAAATTGCTCACTAACGATGGTGGCTTTATCCTTTATTTGTTCCCCCGGGAATGATAAGTCCACTAAGAACAAGGAATCAATAAAAATGAGTACATTTTTTTTATGATCGGTGAGACACAAAAAATAGAATTAATTTATAGCCATGAATATTATACTGCATTCACATATTGGAAAAAAGTAGTTGTGAAAGAAGTAAAAGTGGGGGGCATTATAATTTGTTATGATTGCAAATAGTTCAACTTTAACAAAGTGCACCTCGCACTAATGAAAGTTGTACACGTTTGATCCATTATAACTTTTGTACAATTAATTTTAGTCAACTAGAATGGTAATTAGCTCTTTGGAACAAGAAGAATGAAAGTTGGAGATCAACATCTAATTTGGAACAAGTCCGAAGATGCCAAGCAGGACTTTACGGTCCAATAATGATAGATGCAGCCAAGTGTATACTGGTAAAAATAAAAAACCAGCAACTTGGAGAGGCAAAAATTTAAGACTATTTTAAAATTAGAAATATTTGTGAGAATAACCCTTTTTAAATGAGCAGGTCAATAACACATCCAAATGACTGAATGAGTCATGTTCTCAGGTGCTGATTTTGTCACACCTAAATTTTCATACACAGAGGTTGTACTCCTAGAGAAATGATCCTGAACTAATAAAGTTGAATTTTCAATTGGGATCTCCACTTTAACATAATAAAATGATAAAATGTGTCCCAAAAAAATAAAATGAAACACGTGGTGCTACTTAATAAGTATTTAATTGAATATTGGGCCTCCAATATATTATTCACATTCACATCTAGCTAGTTGTGTTACTTGTAAAATTTTCACATGCCTCTCTGCACCAACAACAATCTTGGAGACGAGTCATGTGAGCGACAAACTTGAACATTAATACAATTTCTAGTGTAAATGTTGCTAATGGCTACATGAATATTATTTTTGAAATCTAATGGACTTAATTTGCGAGCTTACTTCAATGCCAAGAGGTATTAAAGCAAGAGGCTGCTTAAGATGGACCAGATAGAAACGCCTAATTTTAGAAGAGAAACTAACATATATAGTCCACTATTAAAATAAGGAATAGTCAGAATTTCCAAAGTCTTCATTAGAGTCCTTCGTATGTGAATCCTCCTTATTCATGGTGGATTATATTATTACTCCTTATTTAGACACGTCTTAACCCAATTCAATAATTTATACTAATTAATTAGGGCATATGAGCATTTTCTAACGTGCACTGATCGATCATTTTTAATTCATCCCACACAGGTCATGTTCTTCTTATGTATGAATAATATATTGACAGCACGTTCCAAGAAAAAACATCGGAGAAAATGATCACTCCAATTGATGCCTTCAAAAAAAAATTGCCTATAAATTGGAGTCTCTAATATGTAAATTAGAAACATATCTAGAGGAAAAAAACTAAGTAGAAAGAGAGAAAAAAAAAAGTCCATGGCTAGTATAGCTGAAAAATGGGAGGAGCTTAGTGGCAAAGAAAATTGGAAAGGGTTATTAAACCCTTTGGATCTTAATCTCCGAAAATACTTAATTCAATACGGAGAATTAGCTCAAGCTACTTACGACACATTCATTTCCGATAGAGCGTCAAAATATGCAGGAAGTAGCAGATACTCGAAGGAAAACCTCTTTGCTAAAGTTGGATTAGATCCAGAAATGTATCACGTAACAAAATATTTTTACGCGACATCGTCGTTTCCACTTCCCGAGGCCTTTATGGTAAAATCATGGTCAAGGGAAGCATGGAGTAAGGAATCAAATTTTATGGAGTATGTTGCTGTGGCAACTGATAAGGGGAAGGCTGTGTTAGGGAGAAGGGATATTGTAATTGCATGGAGAGGGACAATTAGAACATTAGAATGGGTTAATGATTTACAATTTTTACTAGTGCCAGCACCTAAAGTTTTTGGTGGAGGTAGTTCAATATTGCCTTTATTCAAACCTTTGGTGCATCAAGGATGGAACAGTATATATACATCTGATGATCCAAAATCACCATTTAATAAAGCCAGTGCTAGAGACCAGGTACAAATATTTTTTCACTTGCTTGTATAGTTTATATAGTTTTAGTGAATTAATTTTGTCTTCACTTGTTTGTAGTTTTATATCGTTTTAGTTAATTTTGTCTTTCACTATAGTTTTAGTTAGTTGTTGTATGTTTGACTATTCTCATAATGCTATATGACTTCTATTTAAATTGATATTTAAAATTGATATTACCCACAAACTAATGTATTTTCAGCATAGTCAAATTAATTCATAAAAATACCACTATTTTTTTTGTTGAAGTTCTCCACTAAAAAATATTTAATGGAGTAGTTATTTTTATAGATATTTTGATTGATCGGTGGTTGATATTATGGTAACTCTTCCTTTTATGTCCTTGAAGAAGTGAAAAGATTGGTTGAGAAATACAAGAATGAAGAGGTCAGCATAACTGTAACCGGACATAGCCTAGGTGCAGCAGTAGCAACCTTAAATGCAGTTGACATAGTTTACAATGGATTCAACAAAACAAGCAACGGAAAGGAATTTCCAGTGACAGCTTTTGTATTTGCAAGTCCAAACGTTGGAGATCTCAATTTCAGGGTAGCATTTTCAAAACTAAAAAATCTCCATATTTTGAGAGTTGATAACATATTAGATATTGTTCCAAAATATCCACCCATTGGCTATATAGACGTTGGCAAAGTACTAGTAATTGACACTGCCAAATCCGATTACTTGAACTCTCCAGGAAACTTACAAACTTGGCATAATTTGGAGGCTTATTTACATGGAGTGGCAGGTACTCAAGGTGTAGGAATATTAATAGGAGAAATTTTTGGTGATTTTAAATTAGAAGTGGATCACGATATAGCTCTTGTTAACAAATCAACGGATGCTTTGAAGGGAGAATATGGTGTGCCTGCTAACTGGTGGGTTGAGAAGAACAAAGGAATGGTTCAAAAGAAAGATAAAACTTGGGTTCTCATGGATCGTGAGGAGTATGAAATTTGAGAGAGTTCATTCAAATAAGTTCTTATTTCAATTTGGTTTAATTTGTTTTTATATGTGGAGTTGATTTCTCTTCTATGTATGTCCTTGAAGGGGATGTCCTTTTACGTTAAATGTATCCATCTATATTGTGATTTGTCGTCTTCGAATTGAAGTTTGGTTCGTTATTTCTCAGTGTTATATTACTATGATTTAGTATATGAACTATTATGTATCATGTATTTTTTGAATTGATATACTACTTGACAAAATCAATTCATTCCCCTTAGAGAAAGAAGCACGGAAAAAAGAAGAAGAAAATAACAGATATTTATTTGGAGATACAATTAAAATGGAATGAGTTAGCAGATATAGACTCCGTGCAGATCAAAGTTTAGGTTTCTTTAATTCAATTTTGAACATATTGAGAGGAAAAAATGGTTAGAAGCATAGGCATCTGAAAATTGCAAAATGTAAGTCCAATAAAATTGTGCTAATTTCCTTAATTTAAGAAACATTGGACGGAATTAAGATTAATTATTTTAGTGTAGTAAAGTATTTGAATTTAAAATCAAATATAATTTGGGCTAAGCTATCAATCCGGGTTCACAAAGTAAGCCCACAAGCCCATGGTCTAATAGGGTGTTACTTCATCGAAAAGTTCAAGCTAGCACGTGACAAGTAACATGGTGGGACTGTTTCGGCCTTAATTAGAGTTTTCAGATTTGAGCCCTAGATATAGACAAAATCCTCTTTGGGAGCGTCACCCTCAAATGGACCCTACAGTGCGCGATTCGAATTTAGTCAGAGATCCAATGTGAATTCGCCAGTGATACGTCAAAAATCAATCGGCCACTAAATTACTCGTACCAAATGTGCAAACAATATATATTCTGGCCAATCTAAAGACTTCGGCTACATGATAACTACCAAACTTTAAAAAAATCGCTAACCAATCTAATATTTGATGATTATTTTTTAGATATTTTAATTGAATCGGTTAGAAAAAAATGACAGTGTATTCATACGTTAGGGAGCTTTTTAATATTTTAGTGAGAATTTGTTTTCACTCTATAGCCTTAAAAATGAGATTCTTATTTGAAAATTAGGTGATTTTGCTAGATTCTTTGAAGTGAATTATTTTTTATTCACGAAATTTCTACTGATTCTTTTGTAAAGTTAAATGCATGTCCAGGTATCTAGTGTAATTTTCGTTCTACCACAACCAGCAAGTAGTTGCTAATTCTTAATTAATTCAGTGCTTTTCTTGAGTAGAGACTTTGTAAATTGATGCAATAGTTAAAGTTGTTGAGAAAAAGACGAGAAGATATTATATTCCCATCAATTCCTTGGGCAAATTAATCAACAATCAAACAAAGATAGTTTCAACTTTATAGCACATCCATGAGCAAGACTTGGTCTACTTTTTCATATCAATAATCTGACAAAAAAATGTAGACCCAGATTTTTGGAATCATTAATATATAACCATAGTCTACAGTTTTTTTGGGGACGTACATATGATGAAATTATATGGTAACCAAACAGATTAACATAGACCTTGCACAAAATCACTTGACAAATGGTCCAAGTAATATATTTTTGACCTTTTATAAATTATCGACAGTCTTCTTTTATTTTATTTTTTTCCTTTTTGTTTAGCTATCGAGACATCACGATTCACACAGTGAACTATTTTCCATTGCATGTATAAGAATTTTAATGAAAAAAGCTTTTCTTAATTAATCAATTATAGATGAAGTATTATTATATATATAAATACGTACCTTCTCTACCGCAAGGTTTACTTCACAACCACAAAAAAAAAGGAAAGAAAGATTATTCAGTTTTTGTATTGTTTTAACTTGCCTTGAAGTCGTCCTAGCTAGTCTCCTAAAAAGTTATAATAGGTCGATTCCTGGAAAACGAAATGATATATAGACATTTTAGTCTCATTTGGAAATGTGTGTCCATGAAAATTCTCAATATTGCGCAATTGCGCTTATATAAACTCTATTAAGACCAATATGTAGTTATGTTATTAAATCAGCCTTTATTTTAGGTTTTAACTAGTTCCTGTTTCAATATTTCATTACCATTTACTATCAATGGCTTTCAATTTTTGCCTCAAGAATATTATTATTCTTGTTCTTTTTTTCATTCTTAGCCTATGTCCCTTTATAGTAACTTCCCGTGACTTAAAAGAATTATCCATGCTTGAAAGGCATGAAAAATGGATGGCTCGTCATGAACGTGCATACAAAGATGAGATAGAAAAGGAACATCGCTTCAAAACATTCAAGAAAAACGTTAAGTTCATTGAATCGTTCAACAAGAACGGAACTCAGCGTTATAAGTTAGCCGTCAACAAATATGCTGATCTGACCACTGAGGAATTTACAGCATCATATATGGGACTCGACACTTCATTATTATCCCAGCAAGAATCAACAGCTACAACAACGTCCTTTAAATATGGTAGTGTGACTGAAGTTCCATATAGCATGGACTGGAGAAATTCGGGCAGTGTCACAGAAATCAAAGATCAAGGTGTATGTAGTAAGTACTCCCTCCGTCCATTTTTATTTGTCATGTTGTGCTTTTCAAAAGTCAATTTGACTAATTTTCAAGGTTAAATTAAATTACATTAATTCGATATTTTAAACAAAACAATTAGATATTCAAAAACGGTAGGAAAAGTACTATAAAGTGCATTTTTTTGCATATCAATATGATGAAAAAATACATCTTAAAATGTTAGTCAAAGTTTTTACAGTTTGACTCTAAAAAAGGAAACTATGACAATTAAAAATGGACGAATATAATATTAATTTGATATAATCGTAGTTTGACTAGACATGATAAATATATTTTTCCAACTTGGGGTTATGTATATATCAGAACATACTTTATAAAGAATCTTAGTAGCTCAGTTGGTTGACTACCTAAACTCTCACCTTGTTGATGACTATTCGATTCCCCAAATTGTAGGTCTACTCCCCTACCCCCAATTTTTCCAAACAAATCAAGCCTCTAGAATTATGTGGTCTGTAAAATACCAGGAGATCATTTGTGTAGCTATAAAAGCTGGTCCTTAAAAGTTACTAAAAATTTATAAATATGTCATTCTAATTTTAAATAGACTAAGACTTGAATATCTGCATCCCAGGCTGTTGTTGGGCATTTTCAGCGGTGGCAGCTATAGAAGGAGCATATCAAATTGCAAACAACGAACAAATTTCACTTTCAGAACAACAGCTGATAGATTGCTCTACACAAAACTATGGTTGCAAGGGTGGACTAATGACTAACGCCTACAACTTCTTACTTCAAAATAATGTGGAGGGCATTACCACGGAGAGTAACTATCCTTATGAAGAAACTCAAAGCATTTGCAGCACGGAATTACAATCAGCAGCAGTGACAATCAGTGGGTACGAAGTTGTACCAGCCAGTGAATCTGCCTTACTACAAGCCGTAGCGAATCAACCGATATCTGTTGGTGTTGCTGCTAACGAGGAGTTTCATTTTTACAGAGGTGGGATATATGAAGGAAGTTGTAGCCCTAAGTTGAATCATGCAGTGACAGTGATAGGTTATGGGACAAGTGAAGAAGATGGTACAAAATATTGGATAGTGAAGAACTCATGGGGGAGGAGTTGGGGTGAGGAAGGATATATGAGAATTGTTAGAGATGTTGGGGTTGATGGTGGCCATTGTGGCATTGCTAAAATTGCTTCTTTTCCAACTGTTTGAATTGTTATGATAAAAGGCATAAATTCCCTTCTAAACTTGTGTCGAAAAGTCAGTTACACGTTCAAACTATTGTGTCGACGTATTACACACCTAATTTTATTCAAAGTGATATTAATACCCCTTAGAACGTGACATGACAAAGAGAGTGTCTTCACCTTCCTTAAGGTGCGTGAGAAGAAAAAAATTATATGTTAAAATGACGAATTTCAACACATGACACTATTTTATTGGTCATATAATTATGTATTATAATTTTTAATATATTAATTATTTTATTTTTCTTTTTTTAATCTTTTTATTGGTGGCCCCAATTTCTTTAAAGCTTTTTCATTTTTCTTTATTTTGAGTTCTTCTTCTTAAGGAATCACTGCATTTGTCGCCATTGATTGTTTGATGGAAGCACATTCAACACTCTACCCATAAATATGAACTCTTAAAAATAGAAAGGGTGGAGAAGATGATGACTTTCATCGAAAAGTCAATAATTTTCAACTTAAAATTCATGATTTTTCCGTTTGAACTCGCTGGAAGATTCACCGAAAGATTCATGAGAAAGATAATTATTTCTATTGAAAATTCTATGACATTTATGCATAAAATTCATGATTATATTGTCTAAATTTTTCAAAAGTTCACCGAAGAAAATGATTTCTCAATCTTTGTCTTCTCTATTCTCACCGGAGAACTACCAACAACCACCACAATGTTATTTTTATGTCTCATATCATCAATAGCATATTTGATTTATCAATTACACACAAAAAATACTGATGAATTACATACATACTTATCAAGAATTTTAAAGAATTTTACAAATCTTAAAACTTTTATTTGTTTCATCGGTCATAATGGTGTTGCCCATTGCCTATCACCGCTATCAATATCTCTATACTTCATAATCGACTTATTGACTCCTATTTTTTCTTCAAGTTTGTATCTTTTCTATCAATTTATGAACAATGGAGAAGAAAGAAGAAATAGATTTTAATAAGAGATATGCATAGTGAGAAAAGAAAGATACCCAAATTTTTAATTTTTTGCAAAAGTTAAAGAAAATATCAAGGAAAAAGGGTTTAAATTTTTTTAATAATTTTATTTATGTGTGAAAACGTGTGTACAATATTTTTTTTACACAAAACTGAGATTGTCTTCGAAAAGGGATATTAATATTACTTTGAACAAGATTAGGTGTGTAGTAGGTTGCCACAATAGTTCAAACGCGTAACTGACTTTTCGGCACAAATTTAGGAAGAAATTTATGCCTTTTT